ATCTACAGCATTTGATTTTTGTATATACTGTTGACATAAACAAAAATTTCAAGAATTAAAAAATTTTTTTTGGCAACAATATGCTATAATGTGTTTAATGGTAATACATTAAAGAGTTCAGTTTTTTCAACATTATAAAGCAAGAAGTGGGGGGATGCCTGATTAAAGAGTTTAAATTTTGGTAATGATAATACATTAAATGGTAATACATTAAAGAGTTCAGTTTTTTCAATATTATAAAACAAGAAGCAGGGTCACATGCCTGAACTCCAAGCGGCAAATTCACCGCTTGGAGTTCAGGTGCACGCAACCCCACCCAACTCTTGCCCAAAGCATTTAAAGGGTCCCTAAATGAATTCGCCGCTTGGAGTATAGGCACATGTGCCCCCCCTCTTGCCCAAGGCATTTAAAAAGTCCCATTAAATGCTTCGGGCAAGAAGCAGGGAGCGCACGCCTGAACTCCAAGAAGCTAATTCACCGCTTGGAGTTCAGTTGTGTGGCCAGCAGCCACCCCTCTCCCTCCCCTCCTACAAGATTTAAAGGGCCCTCTAGCTGGTCAGTGGGCCACATGCTCCTGCTGATCAGCTAGAGGGCCCTCTAAATCCCACAGGAGGGGAGGAAGAGGGGTGGCTGCTTGTGGTCACTGTTGGGGGCAGGGCTTGGGGCAGGGTTTTCCCCACTAGCCAATTGTCCAGCAGCTGACAGGAGCCTATCAAATCAGGGGATTCCCCCGCCCCCACCTGGGGACTGAAATCCCTACCTACAAGTTTTATTTCTTCCTCCTTCTCTGAAGGCAAAAATTAAGGTAGTGCAGGGTGTAGCTACTTGCAACTTTTACTCAAGTAGTAGGTATACTTGCAATTTTTCTTAGATAAAATGAAGATATTTTAATTTAAATTCCATAAATAGGTCAAATACTACAATTTGATATGCTAACCAAGTTATAAATGATACATTCTATGGTGTTATATTAGTAGAAGTAGTTTAGGTTTGACAAGCAAGTAAGTATTGCATGTATTTCACTTGTCCCAAAAACCTCCTTTTTTCAGAAAAATTGTGAAAAAACAGGATTTTCCCATGGTTTCAAAATTTTCAGAAATTTTACCTGCCTATTAGTGATTTAATATGATCACGCTGTCCTAAATAGGAGAAGCATAATTTTACATTAAATCCCAATACCAGTAACTAAAACTACAAACCCTCTTTTTGAAAAAACTGGCTCCCTCACTTGCAATCTTCAGGAGGCAGTTGAAGATGGTTTTATTTACAACCTCATTTGATTACTAACAGTGCAATCCTAAGGAGAGTTAAGCCCATTGATTTCAATGGGCTTAGACTGGAGTAGATCTCTTTAGGATTGCACTGTCAGAGTCCTAAATTGTGATTCTAATTTTTAATGTATTTTATTATGCTATTTTATGTATTTTATCTATACTGTCAGCTGCCTTGAGCGCCATAAGGAAGGAAGGCAACTAAGAGAGAACCAGTTTGGTGTATTGGTTAGGAGTGCAGACTATTTATTTATTTATTTATCATTTTTCACATTTATATCCCGCCCTCTACAGTGGGCTCAGGGCGGCTAACAGAGGCAAGGTCGTTAGCCTTGCCATAGGTAAAACATATAAAAACATAGTAAAAACATCCAACACTAAAACCACGGTACTCAATCCAATTACTAGTATCTTAATTCCAAGATGGTATCACCACAGTTCCAATGTACGTGCCCAATGGTGACAGCTTATCAGATCTTCTACAGTTTCCAAGTTCTTCCTCGGGCCTCGTCGATGCATCCTTTAAGATGCCTTGACAGTGGTGGTATAATGGGGGGGGGGGCTCCTACTCAATGGCCTGGTGGAAGAGCTCTGTCTTGCAGGCCCTGTGGAACTGCACGAGGTCCCGCAGGGCCCGGATCTCTCCCGGGAGCTCATTCCACCAGGTAGGAGCTGCCACCGAAAAAGCCCTGGCCCTGGTCACAGCTAATTTGGCGTTCTTGGGGCCCGGGATGACCAACAAATTTTGGGCCCCTGACCGTAAGTGCTCTTGGGGGAACATGTGGGGCAAGGCAGTCCCTCAGGTTGGCTGGACCCTGGCCATATAGGGCTTTATAGGTAATAACCAGCACTTTGAAGCGGATCCAGTACGCTATCGGCAGCCATTGCAGCGCTTTCAGGACAGACTGAATATGGTCCCTCCTAGAGAGACCCATCAACAGCCTGACTGCAGCATTCTGCACCAGCTGCAGCATTCTGCACCAGCTGCAGCTTCCGGATCTGTGACAAAGGCAGCCCCATGTAGACAGCGTTGCAGTAATCTAGCCTCAAGGTGAATGTCATATGGATCACTGTGGCCAGGTCATCATGGTCAAGGTAGGGGACCAACTGCCGTGCCAACCAAAGATGGTAAAAGGCTGACTTGACAGTGGCTGCTACCTGGGCCTCCATTGTTAATGTGGAGTCTAGGAGCACCCCCAAGCTCCTAACCCTAGACGGTGGAACCAAAGGCACCCCATCGAAGGTCGGGAGAGGGAGCCCTAACCCTACACCGGTCCGACTCAGGCCCAGTACCTCTGTCTTCGCCAGGTTTAGTTTCAATCGGCTCAGCCGGAGCCAACCAGCCACGGCCTCCAATGCCCGGTGAAGGTCATCGGGACTCGAGTCCGACGGGCCACCCAGCATCAGAGAGAGCTGGGTGTCATCTGCATATTGATTCCACCCAAGCCCATAACTCTGGGCAAGGGGGCATATATAAATGTTAAATAGCATTGGGGACAACACCGCTCCCTGAGGCACCCCACAATCAAGGGGGTACCGATGGGATCGTCGGTCTCCGACAGCCACCCTCTGTCCCCGACCTTGTAGGAAAGATTGAAGGGCAAGCCCCTGAATCCCGATGTTGGCGAGGTGGTGGGTCAGCAGCTGATGGTCGACCGTATCGAATGTGGCCGACAGATCTAACAACAGCAGTGCCGCCACACCTCCTCGATCCAGATACCTTTGGAGATCGTCAGTCAGGGCAACCAAAGCCATCTCAGTCCCATGACCAGGGCAAAAACCAGACTGGTAGGGATCTAAGACTGAAGCATCCTCCAGAAAGCTCTGTAGCTGTAATGCCACCGCCCTCTCAATATGTTTGCCCAAATAGGACACCGGCCGATAGTTAGCCAATTCGGCTGGGTCCAAAGATGGTTTTTTAAAGAGATGGCGGACCATCGCCTCCTTGAGCGCACTCGGGAACTGTCCCTCCAAGAGGGACTTGTTGATAATCTCCCATAGTGTGCCTCGTAGCCCCTCGTGTCCCGCTTTAATGAGCCAGGAGGGGCACGGATCAAGGTCACATGTGGTTGGGCATACAGCTACAAGCAATCTGTCAACTTCGTCCAGACTGAGCGGATTGAAACACTCTAAACCCGGTACCGAAGACACGCAAGGGGCCTCGAGTTCGCTCACTGTCTCAATGGTGGCGGGGAGGTCGCGGCGAAGCACCAAGACTTTATCTGCGAAAAAGCTCACAAAACCCTCACAGCCAATATCCAATTCCCTAACGTTTCACCTGCTCTGAGGAAGGTCTGTCAAAGTCCGAATTGTCCTAAATAATTGGGCCAGGCGTGAGCTCGCAGATGCAATCTCAGCTGCATAGAAATCCTTCTTAGCAGCCTTAACTGCCATCTCATAGGATCTCATAAACGTCCTTTAAGATGCTCTTGTTGCCTCGTCGCGAACGCGACGCCACCGTCTCTCTAGTCGTCTCAGTTCTCGTTTCAGCTGCCACAACTCCTGGGTATACCAGGGTGTGCGCCTAACATGAGTGCGGAGAGGATGCCTGGGAGCAGTCTCGTCAATGACTGTGGAAAGTCAGACATGCCAGTCCTCCACTAGCTCATCCAACGAGCCGCCAGGGGGCCTCGGATCCCGCAGGGCCATCTGGAACTGCACTGGGTCCATTTGGCTTCGCGGGCGAGCAAAAATCTGCTCACCGCCCATACAAGGTTGAGGTGGAATGTTCAGATGGGCCTTCAGGGCCAGGTGGTCCGACCATGGCACTGCCCCCACAGTGATCCGGTCCACCTCCACTTCCGCCGCAAAGATCAAATTGAGCATGTGACTGGCCCGATGCGTGGGGGCCGATACAAACTGCGAGAGTCCCAGCACTGCCATGGACGACACCAGGTCCGTAGCCCGGCTGGAGATCGCATCCTCAGCATGGACGTTGAAATCACCCAAGACAATCAGTTGAGAGTGATCCAACGCCCAGCCTGCTATGGCCTCCAGCAGGGATGGCAGACTATTGGCCGGTGCATTAGGCGGTCGGTACACCAGCCAAATCACCAAACTCTCCTCAGCCCACAGCAGCATGCCGACACATTCCAAGCCCGCAATCTCCGCAGCCGAGAGTGCCCTGAAGGAGTAAGCCTTCCGAATGAAAATAGCCACCCCTCCCCCTGCCCACTAATCCATGATTGGTGAAGGACCGAGTAGCCTGGGGGGGCTAACTGGGTAAGAGCCAAGGTCTCCTCATTCCTCACTCAGGTCTCGGTCACGCATGCCAGGTCCGCCTGATGTTCAGTCACAAAGTCCCGTAGGGTTGTGACTTTGTTATTAATGGACCTGGCGTTACACAACACCAATGATGGAGGGGGGTCCATCCTGGCCCCACTGCCAGCCACCCTTGGGATGGGCCGTAGGCTGGAAGGGCACCGAGCTCTTCTATTTCTCTGAATCCTTCCCTTATTACTCCGGATTTGATTCCGCACTTCTCCACATGCAGCTGCTGGTGTGACCTTGGGTCAGTCATAAGTTCTTTCAGAGCTGTTCTCTCAAGGGCAGTTCTCGAAAGAGTTCTCTCAGCCCCACCTACCTCACAGGGTGTCTGTTGTGGGGTAGGGAAGAGAAAGGGATTGTAAACTGCTCTGAGACTCCATTGGGTAGTGAAGGGTGGGGTATAAATCCAATCTCTTCTCTTCTAATAAATGTTTAAAATAAATAAATAAAATTCTGTCATACTTCCATGTCAAGGACTTTGTGAAATATGGCCTGAGCCAAACATTCCCGGATATACTTCTGGTGATCCTTCTTCATGGTATTTAAGCGGTATTCCTTCTCTGATATTATCCTTCCACTTCTGGAGATCTGCCACAAGAATAATTATGATTTAATTACATGGGAGTATTAGAGAATCAGAGATAAGAGGGCTTTAATAAATACATGCATTTTGTCTGTAATGAAAACTGCCACAGGCCCAATGTCACATGGACATTTTTTTTTGAGCAAGGACTTACCTATTCACTACTACTGAAATCTGCTCACAGAAGCCTCCCACACAAACACCAGAGCCATTAACTGAGCTATACATATATGACATTATTCTCAACAAAAATGTACACACAATTGTTTATGTGAAAACTTAAAAAACTTGGTCTGGGTTTCAAAGACCATCAGACTAGTTTTGTGATTCAGCAGGCTCACATGCCACATGACCAATACTTTAAAACTAAGGGGAGTTTCAAAACTAGTTTGTGATGTACCGGTAGCTAGAGTTGTCAACCTCCAGGTTGGTATGCAAAAGTATATAGCACTGTGTATAATAGATGTATGTTTAAGGTAGATCAATTTTGTGCTTTTTATTTTATTTATTTATTTAAAAATTCAATACTGTTATATAAATATTGATGTCAAATATTATCAAAAACAGGTTTCACCCAAACAATACAGCAAAGTGTAGATTTACATTCTGTTCAAATATTCAGAAGCACCTTGTCAGTTTCACAATCATTAGTCCCACAGGACTCTAGTAATCTACCCATTTCGAATACAATCTTTTTCAAGGACTGTAATGTATATAAAGGACCTAAGGCGTACTAATTTCTCTTTGTGAGCACAGAACTCTTAAGATAGCAGCAAATTTTCTAGGATCCCATCAGGACTGAAATAAACAAAAATGTTAATACATCAAAAAAAATTCATTCATCCTTATACGGCCCCATTAAAAGAGTTCACTTACCACTTGCAGCAAACATAATAACCTATCTACGATAGCATCTCTCTCAAGTTCTGTCAGGTAGCCTCAAATTTGGGGGGTTGCTCAGTCTATTTCTTTCATTCCAAGCCTCATAATCAGGAGCAGCTATGACAAAAACATCTTTCCTTGAAGTGCCCATGTGTTTTATCATCCTTGTTCCAATACACAATACACAATTCAAGCCTGATTCCTAGCTACTTGGAACATACTTGTAGACTTTGTGTCATTTTGAATCTTGCCAGAGCTGGGTTGAGCTCCATAACTAAAGAAAAGCAGCCTGATGAGGCCCTAAGAAATGGCAAAGCAACCTAGGCATGCCATTGCCGCCCAGGCCCGTAGCCAGGATTTCTTAATTCAGGGGGCCTTTAAATAACTCAGGGGGCACTGATAAAATAAAAATAAAATAAACTCACACTCGCAGGCAGGAGCAGGGTTATTTCCCCTATTGTGGAGGGTGGGTGTAGGTGGAAGTCAGTCACTGACTCCGAGTAACCTGAGGAGGATCCCCTCCTCTCCTTTCCCCCCACAACCGCATTGGCCGTGTGGAGTGCAGGGAACTACGGTAAAAGTGGTGGGCTCCTGTTCGGTTCCTTATTTCTTTCTTCCTGGCTGACTTCGTGCTTCCACGGTGACTTTGCCTCGGTCACACCCCCACCCACCGCCCTGCAGGGGGGCTTTCTGCTGCAACACTTCTCAGACTGGGAAGTGGCAGCCCGCCCGGGGAGACAAGCCAAAGGAGGAGAGGTGGGTGAGCAGACGGGATGGAGATGGCTGCTCTGCTGCTGGTGGTGGCTTGTGTGCACCCTGCGTTGGTGCAACCGGGCTGGACTGAGAAGGCGGGAGCTGAAAGAAAAACCTGGGAGGGGAAGCTGAGGGAGTGCTGTGTTTCTCTCTCCCTTGGCGGCCAGCTTCCTCGACGATGAGGGCACAGGCGCATGCAAGCGAGCAAGGTCTGCAACTCTGATCTGATACGGCCCCAGTATATCCTATGGGCCATTGAAGTCAATGGCGAAAACATAGGGGGCTAGAGGGGAGCGGATTCGAAGGAGAGGCTCCAAACTCTCAGGGTAGCTTCTGGGGCCTCTCCCCAAGATACATACCAAGTCTCAAGAACACTGGACCAGGGGGTCCAATTCTATGGGCCTCCAAGCAGGTTGCCCCATCCCCTCCATTGTTCTCTATGGTGGGAAAAAACATTACTTTTTCCCTCACCATAGAGAACAATGGAGGAGATGGGGGCAACCTATTTGGGGGGCTGTAGAATTGGACCCCGTTATCCAATGTTTTTGAAACTTGGTGGGTATCTTGGGGAGAGGCTCCAGCAGCTCCCCTGCAAGTCTGGAGCCTCTCCCTCAAACCACCTCCCCTCCAGCCCCCTAGAATATACCCTATGTTTTCACCATTGATTTCAATGGCCCATAGGATATAATGGGGCCGAAATGGACATTCGGCTGGGAAGGACTCCCCAATCCTACTGACGAAATTGTCATGTGGGAGTCTTTCTGCCAGCCGAAATTGATTCTGCCCGATTCGGCCGCCAGCCCAGGATGGAGCCTGTGGGGCTGCTGACAGGTGGGGAAGTTGGGGGGCCTTGCTAGGAAGTTGGGGGGCCGGGTCCCAAAATGCTTCAATGTAGCTACGAGCCTGTTGCCGCCTCTTTTTGGTTCGCACTACACCTAGTCCTGAGCTCATGCTGTCTATTGCATGCTTTCTTCTGGAAACTCTTCTCTGCACCATGAGCTGGTGACCACATCAATCCGAAGAGAGACTTGTACTTTCAAGGACTATTAGGTCACTATTTAACTGGTGTAGTTGTCATTTATGCATGGTGGGAAAACTATTTGTTATGTGTATTAATTTTGGTTGTAAGTAGAGCTGTATAAGAAGACAGTGGTCTCTAGTGTGATTTGTACAGTGCTACAGATTATTCTGTTTATTTCTTTGCATTTTCTTCAGGGGAGCTGATCTCTGTCAACTGGAGATCAGTTGGAAAAGCAGGCTGGCAACCCTACACACTCCTCACCTGCACATCATGTCAGTACCGCTCGCCCACCTCGATGATTAACTTTAATTTAATTACCCCCTTAGAAATTTAAATGCCCCCAAAGAAAAAATCCTGGCTATGAACATGAACCTAATGTAGATATCACTAGGGCATACACTAGAGTGACAAGATCTCTTCTATCCAGGAAGGGATGTAGCGGAGCAGGCACCCTGTTTATCCCACAGGAGGCCCAGTTCCAGGAGCACCCCCAAAGTATGAATCTGACCCTTTGGGGAAGTGTAACCCTATCTAGAACAGTAGATACCACATTTCCTGGATCCAAGCTTCCCCTGACCAGTAGTACTTCTCTTTCCTCAAGGTTAAGTTTCAGTTTGTTTGCCCTCATCCATTCCCAAACTGCCTCCAAGAACCTGTTCACAGTTTACAGTCTCCCTAGGATCGGCTGGATGCATGAGAAAGAGCTGGGTATCATCTCATATTGGTGGCAGGTCCAGTTTCCCTCTAAGCTGAGTTAGTGTGAGCTAGCTCACAGTTTTTTAGCCTCCAGCTCACACATTTTTGTCTTAGCTCAGGAAGGATGGCTCCAGAGGAAACTAATCTATGCAGCAGCCAAATCGCTCGCTCACAACTTTAATGCCAGTTGCTCACAAAGTAGAATTTCTGCTCACAAGACTCCACAGCTTAGAGGGAGCATTGGTGGCAACTCAGCCCAAATTTCTGGAAGGCCACTCCCAGTGACTTTACTTAGACGTTGAAAAACATGGAGAGCAAGATGAAACCTTGCAGAACCCTAGAGGACAAAGACCAAGGAGCAGAGCAACATTCCCACAGCATCACACTGTGAAACCTACCTTTGCGATAGGACTGAGGCTACCTCAGAACAGTGCTTCCCAGTCCCAATCTTGAAAGACAGTTCAGAAGGATGCTATGGTCAACGTTATCAAAAGCTGCCAAGAAGCCCGGGAGAATTAACAGGGTCACACTCACACACATGTCCATCTCCTCGTGCAGGTCATCCACCAGATGACCAAGGCTGTTTCAGTCCCATAAACAGGACTGAAGCCAGATTGGAACAGTTCCAAACAATCTACTTCATTCAGGAATCCCTGAAGTTGCTCAGTTACCACTTGTCTAATCACTTTGCTCAAGAATAGCACATTTTAGACTGGACAATAGTTATTCAACTCTCCTTGGGTCAAGAGTAGCTTTTTTTAGGAGTGGATACACCACTGCCCACATCAAGGCAAGGGCAATCACCCTGCTCTCAGGCATTTACTAGGGTTGCCAGCCTCCAGGTGGGAGTGGGGGATCTCCTGATTTTGTGGGCTCCTACCCGTCACCAGCCAGCTGGCTGGTGGAGGGAAGCCCCACCCCCCAACAGTCATGAGTCCACAGAACATCTCCAATGTGATGACATCACATAGAAGTGACAACATCACATTGGGGACACAGCATGCTGCAATGTTACCCCGCCCCCCCCTCCCAGAAAGCCCCATCCCACCCCACCCCCCGCTGGCAGCAGGTAAGGATCTGGCAACCCTAGCATTTACTGTCTTCTGGACCCAGTGTGCAGCCCACCTCCTGGCAGATTTAAGCAGCCAAGAGTGGCAAGCATCATACAAACAAGTGGCAGATCTCAAACTCCCAAGGATTCTGTCCAAATCCTCAGACTGAATAAGCTGAAAGGTATCCCATATAACTGTACAATTCAGGACCCTGGGACCATCCAGTCCTATCACTGTAATTGTTGAGCTGCAATGCAGAACTATGAAAGATATGTGCATGTATAGGCCACTTACACTTATAAAATACACTGAGGTGGAAGCCTAATCCTTTCCCAGTCACTGCTTTATGTATTTTAACAAGAGACTACATGTGTATACCTTTTCCATCCATGTGTCACACATCAGATGTGTCATCAGAAGAACATTTGACATGAGAGTCTGTACCCAATAATAGTGTATTCCATAAGAATATGGTACTACTGGGACATTTCAGGATTAAGAGCTTGCTTGCACTGAACATGTGAGAGCAGCCCCATCACATGACAGTTCTGTCTGTGCAGAATTCTGAAAGTTCTACCACCAACCAAAAGACAGAAAGCTG